GCTACCGGAGTTGCCTTCGCGGTAGATACTGTCGCATCATCTTCTACTCGGATGTACTCGTTGATGCGCTGCATTAATTGGCCCATGGATGTCGGTTGGTGCATGGTAAGCAAGTCCCGCAGTCCATGTCCGACCGGGAGACCGCGCTTATATTATGTGATTGCCAGGTTGACCGGGCAATCCAAGATCTCATTGAAGGTTTTCCAGTATCTGGAGCTGTATGCCTTGAGTGTGTCGCTCGGCTCCATCTTGACACTAAGAAGGTGGTCAACTTCCTTTGGCGTTCTGGTGTTGGTTTTGAAACGAGTCACAAAGGCTTCTGCCAACTGTTGCCACCTTTCGATGCTCCCCTTCGGCTGCCTCTCAAACCATTTCAAGCTCAGCTCGCCCAAACTTGACGGGAAGATAAGACACATAAGAGCGTCATTCCATCTATGTCCGGCCATGACCTGTCGGAAGTGGCTTACATGCATGTATGGATCGGTCTTTCTGTCGTAGAGCGTGAACTTTGGCTGGTGGAAGCCCGCAGGAAGCGGTGTTGTTTCTATCTCCAGGGAGAAAGAAGTGGTGTTCAGCCTCGCCAAATCCATGTCTGGAGGAGAAGGCACAGCTAGGCGGGGTGGAGGCATTACGACCTCTTCATTGGCATGACCCCTATAGGATAACTGTTGGAATGCTGGTACCCTCTGAGTCTCTCACTGGCGAGCCCGCTCCGTCAAGACTTCCCGCAAATCCTTTGAACGAGCGGAGTAGGAGTACCTTGACGTCGTCGCCGGACGTGAGGGTTGGTAAGTGCTATCGTGCGCGCTGGATTTCTCTATGGGCGCGTCGGAATCTCCAACCTTGTAACTTCTGGTGATTGAGAGAGACGGAGTATGCCGCTGGCTCTGACTGCCTGAACGGCGGGGTTGGGTGCGCTCACTGTGGTCTCCCACTCCAGCTACACCCTTCCCTTTGACATGCCGCTTAAGATCCTCCATCTCCGCCGCCATTCTCCGGATGACGGCTTCTTAGTCCCTTAGCTTGTGTTCCAGACGTCTGACATGCGATTCTCTCCGCCGCCGGTGACCGTCTGGACTCCGAGAATGACCAAAGCTTCTTCCGCGCTTATCCCGCGCGTCTCTTGAATGTCCTCCTGGAGAAGTCTCCAAGTCCGACATCGGAGGAATGGCGGGGTGTCCTTCTCTCCGTCGAGCTGACTCCGGGGTAAATCCGTCGAAGACGGAAAACGAAATGTTTTCGTTGTTTGCCATGGACGGCGATCAGATGAGCTGGGAAGACAAGGTTTTGTCTATCAAGTTCCCACAGACGACGCCAATTGTACGGGGAGCAAATATTCCGACGAAGCCCGTACTCCTTTCTTCCAAGCTCCGTATCTATCCGATCGTCCTGCGAAAACAATGGCAGTGAGCTACCCGGCGGTGTGTGGCCGAAAAACCCCTCCGACAATCGAGTTAGCACACACTCCGGGATAGAGAGAGAGAGAGGAGAGGGTTCAGTGTTTTGTGTATCTCATCAAGTGATCATCTGCCTCAGCATGGGGGGCGCAGACACCCTTATATAACTTCTGCGCCCCAAATCTACTCCCATTAGTCTCTCGACATGTGGTGCTGCTATCCCATCTGTCAGCACAAATCCAACAATCACCACTTAACCAAACCGTCTGGATATCTAGGCGGAGCCCGGCAGACCAGCGGAACCATCTCGGCTTCTTCTGACCGCGCTGCGCGGCATATCTGAGTGATCCACTCGCCGAGCCCCAGAACGACCGAGCTCAGTTCCATTCCGGCAAGCCGAGCTCAAGGCAAGTTAAACCGATTAGCTGTAGGCCTTCCTGCCGAGCTGAACGCACGAACCGTGGAATCCGTAATGGCAGACAGTCATCTCGGCCGAGCAACTTCAAGTAATCCGGTTTCCACACGAACGAGCCCAAGTAGCTCGGTCCAACATGACCCTGTGCCTTAACCAAGCAAAACCTCTCTAAACAAGCCCAAGCTACCGCGGTCCAAACGTGTTCGGCACTCAACTTGCCCGGCCTTTGCCATGGCCCATTTCAGCTCATAAAATCTCCCTCTCAGGCATATTTGCTGTCAACACTTACTCTGTTGGATATTCTTCCTGTTGATTTTGGAATTTGCTAAGGACAGTAGTGTTAGTATCTCTACTTTTGCTGGCAATGGTTTTGATATAGTTAGGGTGCTTTATAGGATCATCAACTATACTTTTTAACGAAACAGTAGTGGAAGTCCCAGTGGATTAACAAGTATCTTTATTTTGGAATTGTCCAAGGTTGTTAGTGTTAGTACTGTTGCACCATTAATGCTGAATGTATGTAATTTTCAATCAGGAACCAGTAATTACCGATCCATATGAAACTCCTGTAGTCTCATTACCTGTGGCTGTTAAGGAGCGCATGCTTAGGATCTTGCGACTTGGTATTGCTACTCGGTTTGATGTTAGTCCTAAAGTTGCTAGCAGAAGAATTTGTATTGCTACTCTGTTAAGTTCCTTATCCATTCTTCTTCCATTTTTGGTTTGCCAGTTGAACGTGTTGTGCCCCATCTTACAATCAGACAATTTACCATGGAATTCTTCAATCTTGATTTTGTTCATTGGCAGATACATATTCAGAGGCTGACCAGCCTCAAGGAACTGACTGAATCCACTGCTATATCTATTCTTTATCAGGTCTAGCATAATTACATCTCCATTTGACTTTTTGTTCCTTTATAATTTCTGATTTGTGCAGTGCTTTATTTTCTATTGCCTTGTGTTTGCAATTTGAATACTTAAAGCTGTTATTGCAATTCTTCTTTCATGATGTCTTCTTCCTTCATCTATTTTGTAGTTCATGTCATCGGGGGCAGAAGAGATAAGGCAGAGTATCTTGCCGGGCTGATTTCTAGGGTATGTCAACCACCTCTGTGGATTGAACGTAATAATTCTTCTAGCTTTATGGACTGTTGAAATGACATAACAAATAATTTTATGAACTCCTTTTCTTGGCTACAGAAGCAAGTTGATAAACTGGGACTGAACCAACATGCTTTGAATTTGTCAACATTAAGGGATGTTGCCTCAAAGGAATCAGAACTATCGTTGCTTCTCTAGTAGAGTTCATCTGCCAACTGCTGTTCCTCTTGCCTCACGAGCAGGCTTGACTATGGCTAGGTTACTTTTTTCTGCTGCTATCTTCTCTTAACCGGCAGTACTAGAATTCTTTATCCATTCAGCGAACTTAGCCATTAAACAAATACTTTTGTTGACTTTGCTAATCCAAGTTGGTTCGTTGCAGGTATGACAGTTACGCATCTCTCTATTCCTCTTCATTTTCAGCCCAACCTCTATCCAGTCGAGTAGGTTCTGGAAAAATGGCGGAAAGTAGTCCTACCCCTTTGCACCAAACACCGGATTCTTCTTCTATGTCTTATAGCACAGTCAGATTGGATTATCCGCATATAGCTGCTGCTGATCGTCAACATACACAACCCCAGGTTAGGTTTGATCCTTTCACAGGTAAACCTTACAAATTTGATCCATTCACAGGCGAGCCAATTCTTCCTGAGAGCTTGCTTTGCCATTTTGGAAGCCCATATTGATTCCTGGCACTATTGTTGGTTATGGTAGTAGAGGACCTTCGCTTCTGAACTTAATGAGGTAATGGTTTGTGGTTCCCATGTCTTAGCTTTTAACAGCTCCGCGGACATGGTTACTTGGAGTTGCTAAGTATGTGTTAGGTTTCTATATTACAACATATATTTTCTGTTAGGATGATCAGATACTTTTGTACAAATATATTTTAGCTTTTAGCATGTGTCCCAAGATTACCTTTTATTTATTTTCATTTTTCTTTTTTTCTGTTTTGGTTTCGTGGTTGTCTTTTATCCTCAATTCTTTTGGAGATGATTTTATTCAGGGAGAGAGAGAGAGAGGGAGAGAGAGAGAGAGTAATTTAGATCAAGGCCGAGGAGGATTTTGGAGAAAAGTAATGTCGTGGTGATTAAATTTTTATTGATTTCTTTGGCCTCGTTTGGCATAACCTATATAATCCATCTTTTTATCTTTTTATCTTTTTTCCATCACATCACCTCTCTACTTTTCTGCACATCTTTTTATAAAAAGACAAAAAGTGCACTTTTTTAGAATACCCCAAACCAACCCTTTATTTATCAAATAATGTCATACTACTTCGAATCCCACCGCATGAATGTCCCGTAAGGTTCCACATCAAACTGTAAGTAAATTTTGTACAAATTTTAGTTTGCTTGATTAGGATGTGGTTTAAAAATCAATTTTGGCTATTAAATAAAACCATTAAAAATGCCACACTATTATTTATTTATTTTTGAAGTATCAAAACAAAATTAACTTTTTTTAGTATTAAATCTTTGTTAACTTAACTAATAAACTAACTTTTAACTCACTCACCAGGGGAGACCTAACATCACTCTTTTCAGAAATTTTGAATCCAAGTATTTTCTTCCTTTCTCCTTTTTGACTATCTTTTGCTCACCTCTATAATCAAGCTTAGTACATTATTATTTTCAGTCTCGAATTTTACAATATAAATGGTTTGAAAGCCCACGTGAGGTGGCACAGCAGCAACCTCATGTCCCCCACCCCACATCAACCAAACCCGCGATTATTATTGGTTATGTTTCTTGTTCAATTTGTGAATTGATGAAAAGCCAGAACTGCGTCGATCTTTCTTTCTACAATTCCCCTTTCATTATCATACACTTCCCCCTCTTTCTTCCCCAATAATATCAGATGTGGATTAACGGTAGTGGTTGGGGAGCAAGAAAGCAATGTGTCAAAACTACTTTTCTATTTGGAACAGTAGTGTAAGTCAGAACTACCAAACAAAGAGTGCTGTTGTAATCTCTCATCAATATTGACACCAACGTGAATTGATTCACAGGGATACTGAACAAGAGGGAGGGAGAGGGGGTTTTAAGCCAAGAAGAAAAAAGGTTTGCAGTATTTAAAAGGCGAAGATCGATAAAATATATATATATATGGAAAAAAATTCTCATAAACCTCCAGAGTGCAGGGAATTAGAGAATTATACCAATTCAATCAACCATCAATGGCAATTAGTTCACTTGCGTCTGGACAAATTGCAAAGCTTTTGATGTTTCACAATAACGCAAATTTTGTCCATAATTATTCTCTCGATCCTGAAGAACATAAAATAATGTACAAGCTTTGCACAAGAAAAAGGAAATCATACCAGCAGTCACAGGCTTTCCGAACATGGTTCAGAATACACACAGCCTTTCTAGGTCTCCTCGGAAGGATGACACACTTGGGTGATTCTACACTTTCACTTCCAATCAAGCATGTCTAACAGCCACAGGACTTCTTCCTCAGAGTTAGCGGCATCACAGAAATCCATTTCGATTCCAAAAACATCAATGACCCCTTCATTGCGATCATCCATGAATAGTAAAGAAATCCATGCACGAATACCCGACACAAATGGGTAAACCGGAGAGAAGTCAAGGTAGTCAAATGCAAGGGCCCTATAGGCGGTGCGGTCAATGTAGTCGAATATTGATTTGTTGATGATGCAAGCAACTTTGTTCGAATCCTTGCGACCCACAAGCACCGAAACACTGACTGTTTGGCACAGAGGAACCGTGAACCTTGGCTCCACCGGTAGCGTCATCTTGTATTCTGGGCCTTCCAGATGAAACCTAAGCATATCACAAATTCCAGGTGGCGGGATTCTGATTCCATTCTGAAGAACAGGGCCCGGTACAACTTCCGAGAAGATTAGCCTCTCTTCTGCCCAAATATCAATGTAGAACTCTAAGTCATTGAAGGACAGCCTTGGGGGAAGAAGGGTCCGACGTTGCTGGCGTTTATAGAACGTTTGGAATAGTTTGTAGTAGGTTACAATGGGAGGCGATGGTCGCTTGCAGATTGAAGGCCATCTCTTGGCGCATAGGCACTTCCACAGGTAATCATCTTGAGCCATCGCTCGCCACTCCTTACACACCGCCATACAGGAAGCTAGATCAGGCCCTTCCAGCAATGGAAAAACAGCCTTCAAAGCTTCTTCATACGACATTTTCAACTCACGGACAAAGATTAAGGGAAGACAAAAATATGCTGCAGCAACAATTTACAGCAATGGGGGCCGTGAAACTGATTGCCTCACATGGATACCCTGTAAAAGGCACAAAAGAAATTCAATGTCAGCAGCTATCCATCTCCAAGTTCAACACAGTAAAAACATTTCTTCAAAGTTGGGAATACAAGACAAATATCAACTGAATGATCCAAAAACAAAAATGAAGAATTTGATCATGAAATTGCAAATCCTGGATGATCAAAATAAAGGAAACTGAAAAATAATGTAAAAAAAGACAAATCCAAGTTCAAACTTAGCATTGACATAAGATTCAGTTATTCAAGTTGCTTCAACCCTCATTCTATATTGGTTTCAAATTGCAGCATTACGTACAGTCAAGCCATAAGTGTGAAAAGCAATCACAGAAGAACTTCGAATTACAATTGAAGTCAGAAATGGAATAGTCAAATCAATGTACAAAACAATATTGATCTTACACAAATGATATCAAGAATAACACATCGACAACATCACCATTCAACGGTCCACATGTTTCAGAATTCTAGGACACCAAGCCGTATTGAATTGGTATGATGCTCCGTTCCATTGCATATAAGAAGCCCCTCTCAAAGATATTTTATCTGGCCTATGTTAAGAAAAAAACAAAACTCGAGTTAGAGATAATATACATAAACATTTTTTCAAAAGTTTTTAATGTAGTGAACACCAAAACAATCGAACTAAGCACTTTGACAATCTATAAACAGAAAGACAATGTTTGGATCTCAGATACATTGAAGGAAGGGGAATAAAATAAAAATTAGAACAAGAAAAACAAAAAAATGAAATCACTTACATCTATTAATTTTCATTGGGTAAACAAATAAAATAAACAAATTTATTAAAAATGCCTATACAGTTTCTTCTCCATTTTCTAGCCCACCCACACAAAATAAGAATTTTAGTTTCTCTGGTTTCATTTTTTTTACTTTCCCATCTTTTCCTCTCTCTCTGTGTGTCTCCTCCCCCCCACCAATTCAATCAACCATCAACTTCCTTCCTTCCTTCCTACACAATAACAAACCCAAAAAACAAACACAAAGTAAGAGTACTACTCTCTTTGGTTGCAGAAAAATGCAGTGCATGTATTTTACCCCATTCACAAAAACAATGGTGATAGAACTATTTGCTATATTTAACATAATTTTCCCATATTTTGGATCCAAAAAGCTAACATGCAAATAAAAAGTAAAACCTTAATTTCCTTTTGTTTCTTTCATTCTTCTTCAAAATCCCAGAAACCCAACACAATAGAACGTTCAGCAATCCCAATCCAAGCCTAAAACTTGAAAACAAATAAATTGAAAAAAAAGAAGAAAAAAAGAAAAGAAAAAAAAAGAGGGACCTTTTTACATCACAGAGAAGTCCCTACAATATGTAGATAACTATCCAAGCAAAATTCAGAAATTAAAGAAGCTAATTTCATCAACTCCATACATGTGAAATCTGAAACACACAAAATCATCCATTTTGGATCAGAAATCAAACCCTAGACAGTGATGCTATGCTAGAGGAAGGCCCACCAGATTCATCATATGAAGCACCCAATCACTACAATAATGCAAATCGAAGCATACGAGGATGATAATTTAGATCTGAAACACAAAAAACGTAAATGATCCGAAAAATATTCATTCACCTTTGAATCGGTACACCAAAAACCCTGGGATTCGTTGAAACCGATCAGAGAGATCTTCGCGTATGAGAGAGAAAAAAAGTACAAAGCCTCTTTGATTGATTGAGAGATAATAGGGGAGGTGTTTTGATTTGGTGAGTCGCGATCTATTATCTTATATTAGGATAAGCTTTGTTATTGGGTCCCACTTTGTCGTGTGTAACCCGTGTCGGGCCTCATTCGCGACAAACTGAAACAGATGGACGGTTTACATGGATCTGGTGGAACGCGATGTATGTTGTCAATCACCAATTCATTTTAGTTTTTTCTTTTAAGGACTTTTCTGATGTGTGCCTTGTATATGGTATGTAAGGTACTTACACCCTTCTATTTTGTATTTACATATTTATATGTATTGAGTTATATCAAAATATTTAGAAACTTACACATTGGTGATCTGCTTAGCAGGTCACTTTTCAGGTAAATTAATAAAATAATATATTATATGACTAAAGGTGTAAATGGTCACAAGAAAAGTATAAGTTTTCAAGAAAGGCGTAAGGAATTTCAGAAAAAGGCGTAACTGATTACTGAAAAGTATAAATCATTTACACCTTTTATGAACACTTACTCCTTTTGTGTAAGAATTTTTGGCATAAGATTTATACCTTTTGCTTCGAACATACACCTTTTGTGGAAGCCCAACTTAAAGCTTTTCGGAAGTCACTTATACCTTTTGTGAAAAAATAAATTCATCAAATTTACACCTTTTGCTTCAGCTTATACCTTATCGTGGAACTGCTTATATTTTTTTTGAAAAGTTACTCCTTTTGTGAAATAATTTTTCTCATAAGATTTATACTTTCTTTTTCATCAAACTTACTCCTGTTGTGAAAGAGTATATAACCACAAAAGTATAAATGTTATGCCAAAAATTCTTACACAAAAGGAGTAACTTTTAAAAAAATATATAAGCACTTCCACGAAAAGGTATAAGCTTAAGAAAAAACGGAGTAACATTTCAAAGCGTTGATAACCAGAAAAGGAGTAACAAAGGGTTCATTTCGAAATGTTCGTAAACACAGAAGGAGTAACATATGTTCATCTGAAAGTAGTAAACACAGAAGGAGTAACATTTCGAAGTGTTCATAAACCCAATTGAGACAACCACTGAACAAATCAAAGGGTCGTGACCCCCGCTGACCACCCAAGCGTCGGTGGGCTCCGGTGCTCACAGCCATCTGAGATCGGCACCTCCACTGGCACCGCCGCCGCTAATCAAAGGTTTTTTGAAAGATTGGCTATCGATCTTGGACTCTCTGTGTCGATGTCGGTCTGTCTCTGTTTTATCTCGGTCTGTCTCCAGCGATCTTGGTCTGTCGGTGTCCATGTGGGTCTCTTCTCTGTCGATTTCTGTCGATTTCGGTCCCTCTGTCGATCAGTGTCCATCCAGGTCTCTATGTCTGTTGAGCTCAGTCTATCTCTCTCTCTCTCTCTCTCTCTCTCTCTCTCTCTATCTCTCTGTCCGTTGCTCTATATTAAAAACGGTCTCTATGTCTGTTGAGCTCAGTCTATCTCTCTCTCTCTCTCTCTCTCTCTATCTCTCTATCCGTTGCTCTATATTAAAAACGGTCTCTATGTCTGTCGATCTCAGTCTGTCGATCAGTTATACCTTTTGTGGAAAAATTAATTCATCAAATTTACACATTTTCCCTAAGCTTATACCTTGTTGTGGAAGTGCTTATATTTTTTTTGAAAAGTTACTCCTTTTGTGTAAGAATTTTTGGCATAAGATTATATCTTTTCTTCGAACTTACACCGTTTGTGGAAGGCCAAGTTAAAGCTTTTTCGCAAGTCACTTATACCTTTTGTGAAAAGATAAATTCATCAAATTTACACCTTTTGCATAAGCTTATACCTTTTCGTGGAAGTGCTTAAATTTTTTTTGAAAAGTTACTCCTTTTGTGTAAGAATTTTTGGCATAAGATTTATACCTTTTCTTCGAACTACACCGTTTGTGGAAGGCCAAATTAAACCTTTTTCGGAAGTCACTTATACCTTTTGTGAACAGATAAATTCATCATATTTACACCTTTTGCTTAAGCTTATACCTTTCGTGGAAGTGCTTATATTTTTTTCGAAAAGTTACTCCTTTTGTGTACAAATTTTTTGCATAAGATTTATACCTTTTCTTCGAACTTAAACCTTTTGTGGATGTCCAACTTAAAGCTTTTTCGCAAGTCAGTTATACCTTTTGTGAAAAAATAAATTCATCAAATTTACACCCTTTGCTTCGGCTTATACCTTTTCGTGAAACTGCTTATACTTTTCTTGAAAAGTTACTCCTTTTGTGAAATAATTTTTCTCATAAGATTTATACTTTTTCATCAAACTTACACCTTCTGTGAAAGAGTATATAAGCACAAAAGTATAAATGTTATGCCAAAAATTCTTACACAAAAGGAGTAACTTTTAAAAAATAGTGTAAGTATTTTCAGTAAAAAGTGTAAGCTTAAGCAAAAGGTGCAAAATTAATGAATTTTTTTTTTCACAAAAGGTATAAGTGACTTCCGAAATAGGTTTAAGTTGGGCTTTCACAAAAGGTGTCAGTTCGAAGAAAAAGTCCAAAGTATAAATCTTATGCCAACAATTCTTACACAAAAGGAGTAACTTTTCCAAAATGGTGTAAATATTTTAACGAAGAAGTAACATTTCAAAGCGTTGATAACCAGAAAAGGAGTAACAAAGGGTTCATTTCGAAATGTTCGTAAACATAGAAGGAGTAACATATGTTCATCTCAAAGTAGTAAACACAAAAGGTGTAACATTTCGAAGTGTTCATAAACCAATTGGCACAACCACTGAACAAATCGAAGGGTTCGTGACCCCCGCTGACCACCCAAGCGCGGTGGGTTCCGGTGCTCACAGCCTTCTGAGATCGGCAACTCCACTTGCACCGACGCCGCAAATCAAAGATTTTTTGAAGGATTGGCTATCGATCTTGGACTCTCTGTGTCGATGTCGGTCTGTCTCTGTCGATCCTTGTTTATCTCGGTCTGTCTCCAGCGATCTTGGTCTGTCGGTGTCCATGTGGGTCTCTTCTCTGTCGATCTCTGTCGATTTCGGTCCCTCTGTCGATCAGTGTCCATCTAGGTCTCTATGTCTGTGGACCTCAGTATATCCGAAGTGTTCATAAACCCAATTGAGACAACCACTGAACAAATCAAAGGGTCGTGACCCCCGCTGACCACCCAAGCGCGGTGGGCTCCGGTGCTCACAGCCTTCTGAGATCGGAAACTCCACTTGCACCGACGCCGCAAATCAAAGAATTTTTGAAAGATTGGCTATCGATCTTGGACTCTCTGTGTCGATGTCGGTCTGTCTCTGTCGATCCCTGTTTATCTCGGTCTGTCTCCAGCGATCTTGGTCTGTCGGTGTCCATGTGGGTCTCTTCACTGTCGATCTCTGTCGATTTCGGTCCCTCTGTCGATCAGTGTCCATCTAGGTCTCTATGTCTGTTGACCTCAGTATATCCGAAGTGTTCATAAACCCAATTGAGACAACCACTGAACAAATCAAAGGGTCGTGACCCCCGCTGACCACCCAAGCGCGGTGGGCTCCGGTGCTCACAGCCTTCTGAGATCGGAAACTCCACTTGCACCGACGCCGCAAATCAAAGAATTTTTGAAAGATTGGCTATCGATCTTGGACTCTCTGTGTCGATGTCGGTCTGTCTCTGTCGATCCCTGTTTATCTCGGTCTGTCTCCAGCGATCTTGGTCTGTCGGTGTCCATGTGGGTCTCTTCACTGTCGATCTCTGTCGATTTCGGTCCCTCTGTCGATCAGTGTCCATCTAGGTCTCTATGTCTGTTGACCTCAGTATATCCGAAGTGTTCATAAACCCAATTGAGACAACCACTGAACAAATCAAAGGGTCGTGACCCCCGCTGACCACCCAAGCGTCGGTGGGCTCCGGTGCTCACAGCCTTCTGAGATCGGCAACTCCACTTGCACCGACGCCGCAAATCAAAGATTTTTTGAAAGATTGGCTATCGATCTTGGACTCTCTGTGTCGATGTCGGTCTGTCTCTGTCGATCCCTGTTTATCTCGGTCTGTCTCCAGCGATCTTGGTCTGTCGGTGTCCATGTGGGTCTCTTCTCCGT